GCCTGTGCAATTTAAAAAAATTAGCTTAGTATTTACATTACTAGTATTATAAACGCTTCTATTACTTACACTCTATTCACCTGAAGTCTGTAACCTTTTTCTAGGCCCTATTGAAAATATTTTTCTATGTTCCTGCTAACTCCTTGTTGAATATTCACCTTCTTCCTATGCTCGGTTTCTTCGCCCTCCTCTTTATTTACACACCTTGTCCTCAGTCTATTCGTCTGAAAACTGCCATCCCTTGGCAGTACAACGCTGCTATCTCACCAAACCACTTATACCATCTATTGTTAATCCAAAAACCTCCAAGACCGCACCTTATTTGCGCACCAGTCACTTTCTTACTTTTTACCCATCTTACTACACTTTCTTTCCTTTTCCTATCCTAGTAGCTGAGGTCATTTTCGATGAAAATCTTCGAACCCTTTAGTTTGTATTTGTTCTTCCAAATCAAATCTTTGTCCTCCTTATTTACACATTTAGCTATATATACACTACCGCTTTTCCTTTCCTGTAATATCTTCACCTCAACGCCTAGCATTTCTTTATTCATAATAAACCTATTTAAACCAATACGCCATATAGATACGGTGGTTAGAGACAGGCCTCTAAAAACCACGTTATCTTGCCTAACCATCTCATCCTGCCATTTAACTAAGCTTCTCACTGCGCCTACCTCGAATTCCGAGAGCCAACTTGTACCGGCCACCGATTCCCCATTTACCGACCCACCTTGTACTCCTATCGACCCTATACTACTAGCTATACTGCCTTCGTTTTTTAAATTATTTGTTTCGCGCGAGGAAACTGTATTACCGTCTAACTTTTCGAACTCATCTAATTTAATACACATTTTTAACCTAAATTCCAGTCATTCGTTTTCCAGTCACTCCATTTTTTCATTTAAATCTATTTCCAATGCTTTAATCTCTACTTTAATTTTTTTCTTCCGTAATGTTTTCTTGCTTAATCTTTTTAAGTTCCGTCTCCATCCTTTCTTTTACACTTGCCCTTTCTACAATAAGCGCCTCCCTCTCCTTATTCCAATTCTCCTATCTTTAACCTTAAACCTTCGCATCCTCGGCATTCTAATACTTTTTCTTTATTGTAACACGTACGTTAATAATTTAAGCCCGAACAACGTTGCGTCACAAATTATTTAAGGGGAAAAGCTCGGAAGGCGCACTCGCTTCGTCGCGGAAAATTAACGAGGGCTATGTCGTCCAGTAATATCGATAATCGCGGTTTGACTAGTTACGAGAGAGACAGGTTGCATAAATAAACTTATCGGTTCGGATATTTTACACTTTATTAAAATAACAATATACATATGGCGTTGACGTGTGCGTCGGCCAAGTCCGGGCTTAGTCCATTCCGTGCGAATTAACGCACAGGAAACAGACCGTCGCCTTACAACTATCCCGCGAATTCAACGAGGGTGATGCGAATTCACGCATACAGCCTTTTCATCCGCGTCCGGCCGATACGATGCTTGGAGAGAGAGAGAAATCGAGGCGCGCACCGAAAAACAAAAAGGGTACCTGACCTTGGGAGGGAGCGCTACTGCGGAAGTCCGCGTCCACTGGGCCAACGATGTCGTCCTCAAAGGCGGATTTAGATGGATGCAGCTGGTCTTCCTCCTTGATGCTGGTCGCTCGATGACAATCAACTACACACACTCGTTTTTGTCGCGAGGCTCAACTAGCTAGTAATTAGTTGCCGGTCAAAACCCTACTCCTGTCCGATCTCGCGCCTTCCACGACGTCTTACGCGCCCCTCCCCACAGGCACCCAAAACGGCCGAGCGCCGCCGGCTACGCACACATGTGCGACTCATGCCGGCGACACTACTTCTCTCTCTCCTCCTCTGCTCTCCGCTCTTGCCCTATCCCTCCAACGCCAGGCATCTCCGCCGATCAGGAATCAAACCTGCAACAAAGCCACATCGTGCGTCGATACTCGGTTTTAATCAACCAAGACCGATGTGGCAGCGGCTCAGGGGAAGGCACGCGGAAGAGAGAGAGAGGCGAACAGGGCGATCGAACTCAACGATCGATTCGTCCGTCACATTATTATCAAATTTTACTACCTTCGCGAAACTCTCTGTAATCGGCACCTGTTTATTTCCGGGCGTGTCGGCTTTTTCACGCTTTGACTCTCTAGAGACTTTTAGTTCCCCCATCCCCCCAGATTCCGCAATGCCGCTAATGTTTTTTTCACACGCACTCATCTCACTTTTCTCACCTCTAACGTTACTTCTCTTAGTGCCTATCACTTTTCTATCTTCCTTTTCCTTAACTTTTTCATACATTTTTGCCAATCTATGCAATTTCCAGTTCCTGCCTACCTAACCAACTGCCCTAACCTCTACGCACGCACAACTTTTTTTTCATTACAGATCACATCCACGCCCTGCGCGACGGCACATACGGTCACGTTTTACAATCAACGCACGCAGCTTTACAATAAAACACTAAAATCGTTACACCAAACACTGAAATATCCAATTACAATAACAAATACCACGGAGCTTCCTCATATGCGACCATTCACACTCGCGTCACCTAACCAAGTCCTCGATGTTGCGCTAGTAGTTATGGCTATGAGCACTTAGGATATAGAGTATTTGGGAGGTGTCTCCATTGTGATGGTAGTTCAATGGCTAAGAGAGCATAGACTGAGTCTGGCTGTGGAAAAGACGGAGGCGGTACTCATCTCCCGCACGAAAACCAAAAAATACGCTACCTTCACGGTGGAAGGTAAATGAGTCCAGTCAGTCGACATGATGAAATATCTAGAAGTTACCTTGGACACGCGACTATCGTTTTAGCATCATCTCGCAAAAACAGGAGTCAAAGCGGTTACGTTGCTAGAACATTAATAGGTATCGTGTCAAATGTCGGGGGGCTAAAGAATGACGCAAAAAATAAAGAAAAAGAAAACAAGGATAGTATTTTGAAACCAGGTGAATTACAGCATAAAATAGAGGAAAGAAAAAGATAAAAGCATAGGAAACACACAATAGAGTACTTCAAGCAACAATTGGAAGAGAAAGAAGGAGAAGTGGAGCAAAACAGAGAAAAAGTAGAAAAGGTGGAGAAGATAATAGAAGAAAGAGAGGTATAGGAAATAATGAAGAAAATGAAGGTAAGAAAGCACCAGAAGAAGTCGGAATACGAAATGGAGCGTAGAAGGAGGGAAGAGCAGAGTTAAAAAAGGTTCACACAGCATATTTGAATAAAGTGTAGGATAGGGAAGACTACCCAGAAAACGTAGAAGCATTATCTTAGTACCAATATATAAGGGAACAAAAAGGAAGTAACTATAGAGGAATAATAGATACAAGGTATAAAAGTGACATAGAAATACTATAGAGATATAGAAGTATAAAAAGCAGAAACAATGGGAAAAAAAGGAATACAAAAGACGGAATGAAAAGCGAAGGTATGAATTGGCAGACTTTGGAGAACAGCAGGAAAGCTGTTTAAAGAAAACTGGTAACTAAGAATAAGATTAATTGATGCACTGGCTAAAAGTCTAATAATGTATAGCATAGAAATCTGTGGATCGAGAAGGTACAAAGAAATTCAAAAATACATTAAATGGAGTGTAAAATGAAATTGAACGATATCATGTTACGTGATCAAGTAGGAAACAAAAAGAAAGGAACTCACAAAAAGAGACGGAATGATAACAGAAGAAGCTAGAAAGAATAAAGAAAAGAGACAGAGAAATGCAGCAGTGAAAAATAAGAAAAAATTAGGAAAGATGGAAATGAATGGACGGAAAAAAAGTCAGAGCGAGGATGAAAGAAGTGAAATCAGTGAATGAAGGGACAAACAAAGAGATATCATATTCTTTAGACAATTGACAAATTTGTCACAGGCCTACAGCTTGTTCGCTGGCCCTATGCGGGGCATTCTGTTCGCGAGAACGTAGCGACGGAGCATATACGATGACAAAGAGTATATGCTCATACTGTTGCAAAACCAGAAGATGGGAGCGTTGCGGACGGTGAACTGGCACCATGGGCAAGAGCGTGTACAGCGAGATTGAGAGAGAGTGAGAGTGAGAGAGTAAGAGAGTGAGAGAGAGAGAGAAAGAGAGAGAGAGAGGGAGAGAGCGAGAGATAGCTTTAGTGACGAAGACTTTAGAAGGAAAGAATGGAGAGAGGAGCGGCGCGTAGTAAAAAAAAAGAAGAACAGAAGGACAGTGAGGCACGAGCTGAAGTTTAAGACAGCCGCCTAATAAATAAGTGCGGACAATAAAAGTTCTATTGACCGAGCTGATTGAAAGATCAAGAATGACCGAAAGGCAAAGGCAACCTCAACACCTAGTCAGATAATCATTACCAACCGTCGAGACTGCCGATCGGACTGAGGCCGACGAAGGACACAGATATTCTACGTCCATGGAGCATAGGCCGTGTTGCGGTTAGTCCCAAGACGGTGCAGGTCATCGCGCGGATGCCGATGCCAGCGGGACTTCGCTTTCGCCGACGGCGCCTCTCCGCCAACGAGTCAACGGTGCCTGGTGGGTCGCTCTCATGAACATTTATCTTTTCTCTCGCGCCAGCTCTCGCTCGTTTACACGGCCGCGATTAACTTAAGTTTAAAGTCATACGCATGCTGAGGGAATTCACTCGCATGTTCAGCTGGAATTTGTCGCGGTTAGGGCTGAGTGGATGCGCTCGTCTACGTGTCGCTATATCATAGGTTAAGCATATTTATGTATTAATACGTAATAAAAGGAATCATCTATTTTACTTCAATTATTGTTAGATTTATGGATGTCAACTTCTCCTTGTCAGAGCGATCGGTTGGTCTAAGAGAGTCAGCGCCGGTTTTCTGTACCGAGACAGAACCCATAAACAATTAGCAGACTTCAGCCCAAGGCGCCTAGAGGTTAACAACTCTCGTAAATTAATCAACTTATCTTTGATCATATATTAACACACATGAATGAATTTCAAAACAAAGAACATAAGGAAAACCTACTTACTTTTAGTCTTCTTCATTCCGAAGGTAGTTTCCGTGATGTAAAAAGATGGAATAGTAGAGATATTAGTAGATATGTTCTCCGATTGATGAGGAAATAAAAGTTCTTCTTCTTTCGTAATTTTTCGGATTTTATAAATTGAATGTGAACCAGTCCTAGTGTCATAGACAAATGCAAAAGATGGCTCCAAGCTAGTAAAAATGATTTTTAAGTGATGTTGCCATAAATATGTAGAATTTCCTGTAATTATTAATGGTTTTACTATAATATATCGTAAAATATTCAGAAATAGTTTTAAACTATTATTACAAAAAATATAAGTAATTTTATAAATTAAGAGGCCCACGAAGGAATAAAAAATGCAAAAGTAATCTTTTTTCATTATCATCTAAAATTTGTTTTGATGAAGGTTTCACCATGAAAGTTTTTTTATATTAATGAGCTTGATAAAAACTTTTATTCTCCTGTATAAGCTTTTATTCTACTGTAAAAATCCAAGTATTAATTAAGAATTTCAAGAACGTCCCTACATTGCAGCATTTGAAATTTTGAAAAAATTGAGTTTACGATACCTTCTGACCATCAGAGTGAATAAAAACTATCGTATAAGAACTTATATTCTACGGTCAGGTCTATTTTTCAAATCAATAATAACAATGCAAAATTTAACAAATAGTAACCTCAGGAAAAATAAGGCAATACTAGGAATCATGACCTCTTGTAAAAGAAATACCATATGAAATCTAGATAAATAAGCAATAAAGTATAAATTATAAACAAATACAAATTATATGAAAAAATGGTAAACATTTTAATTAAACAAGCAAAAATATTAATAAAGCAAAAAATCTCTAATAAAACAGGAAGTTGCAATAAAAGTTTTTTGATGTACATAAATTATAAGCTAAACTGATCAAAATAAAAAATAAATTAAATACAATTAATAAAAATTGGCAACATGATTATTTAGAACGGTGAATTAAATAAATCCTTATTGAACATTGTTAAGAAAATTCTATCTCTTACAATTAGAGTCAAATTTTTTGAAGTGGGCCACTAAAAATCCACGTATTTTTTCTTGATAAAAATTCAAGATACATATGTGAAATTTAATCTTTTAAAATAATTAAAAAAATTTTTTTTTGCCATAATTATAAACAAAATAGTTCCTTGATAACTTTTTTTATCAAATCACGATTAATCAGTCAGTATTTTATAACATGTTACCAAATTTTAATGATATGTATAGTTGTAGAGGAATATAGTGGCTTAATCACGCGATTAAAAAAGTTGCAACGGTAATCGATTATACGTGTTGATTCGTTCGCGATTCAGCAACACTCGAGGAGCGCGAGCTAGCGATTTGGAGAGAGACAGAGGGAGTCCGCGCTAGAAGAATCGGCAGTATCGTTAGAACTGGCAATCGAGACAGGTATTGTGCTTTAAAAAAGGTGTCCAAGCAAAATTGTATGAGGTGTCATTGGGATTAGGTGAGCGAAGAACAGTCAACAGCAGCAACTTGCAGCTGCGCTGAACGGTAGTATTGATATCTTTGGCGGCATCAGCGAAAACTGTTGCAGAAGTACCCACAGTAACCAGGAGCATCCAGTTATTTTCGCTCATTGAATCTTCAGCAAGAAAACTGTAATTAGGCAAAGTGCCACTCATTAGTAGAAATCGCGGGGTGCGGACCTTTCGCTAGTATTTTAAATTGCGAGTGTTAGAATTGAACGAATAAAATCAGTGATTAGGTTATTCGCGCTGACCTTTCGAGAGTAATTTAATTTATCGCGAGTGTTAGAATTGGCCGAATAAAATCAGTGATTAGATTATTCACGCTAACCTTTCGCCAGTAATTTAATTTATCGCGAGTGTTAGAATTGGACGAATAAAATCAGTGATTAGATTATTCGTGCTGACCTTTCGCCAGTATATTCATTTACTGTCAGATTTAGGCGCGAAGAAGATTAAAATTTAACTAACTCATGCTGACCTTTCGCTTGATCCGAAGTTAATGTCAATGTTCAATTAATCGGAGGATAATTAATAGTTGGGTTAGGTCACGCTAACTAATTGTTCGATTTGAACCAGGTAGTAATTCTTTGCTTGCGTCGCGCTGACCATTCCGCCATCTTCGGTAATCAAAGATCGACTTAAAGAACCTTAGCTTTTCTATTAATTCGTGTCCTTGCTATTACGTATAATTATGCTGAATCATACTGACCTCTAATGAACTAGACCACGTGCGTATAAAAAGTGAAATAAGTCAATAAAGAGTGATTAATTTTTCTTTACAAATTTTTGCTTCTTGTTACCCTACCTTATTTGCATGCTGATTTTTCCAGCCGCGAACGGTTGTAATCGGAAAACGCTGATTTATTAATTTTTTGGTTCCCACGATAGGTGACATACGCGCGAAATCGAACGAACTTCCGACCTGAGGTAAAGTGTCATCATCTGAGCTGCCGGCATATTATAAACGAGGAGACAAAAATAAACTAAATTGTTGGATATCGAGTCCTGGAGTAGAGGAGATCGCGAGTACCCATACGTTTGCCCACACTACGCAGTCGCTCTGAAAGCAAACCGGAGTACGCTGCGACCTTTAGGCCCTATCCCCGACGATCGTCCTAGTCAAACGGCGGTCTGGCGCCCTAAATAATCGGGAATAAAGAACCAAACAGGCCTTGTGGCGGAAGAGATTTGAGAGCGCGGTTAAGACCCCCCGAAATTCCCCGCCACAAGGATTGAGAGGTATTGCATAAATGAGATAGATTAATAGGTAAACTAAATAACCATGAATGAAAGCCATAATGAAAGAATAATAAAAAATTGTTTGCCGTCATAAAAAAAACTCCAGTCATAAGTGAAAGGATAGCCATTTGAACAATGAAAACAATATTAATATAATGATAAACTAATTGAACGAAGTAGAACAACAAAACAGAGATATATGAGCTACAGAATTGAAGAAGGCTTAACTAGCCTGTATAGACGTTGAATGTCCATACAACGAATATAAAAGGCGCTTACTAGTGTCACCGTATGCATGCAGATACACAAGAGATGAGAAAGATGCCTCCGGGAATTTAAGGCGTTCGGTAGCTCCGACGTCTCAGAAACGAGTCAGCCCTTCTTACGTTGTCGTTGAAAAATCGAGTGGGCAAAATCACGTGATTAGAGGCATTCCAGGAAACGCTTTACGTCCTCTACTAATCCTTTCTGTTTATGTGAAAAAGGGTTTAAAAATAATGATTTTATATGTGATAATCAGTCTGGATCATGAAGACCAGTGGTGAGGAACTGCCGAACTCCACGCTGAAAAGATATTAAAATAGGTGCGGTTGTATGTTTAGTTTATGATAATTTTTACCATAAGAGTGAAATATAGCTCTTAAAATTTTTTTTTGACGTCTGTAACATTAGTTATGAGCGCTCAAACCAAGAGTGACGTTGTTATAGTAGAAAGTAGAAAATAGTCCTAGTAATCATGTCACTGATAAATGCAACAATGCAGTGTTAAAATTTTCTATTTTCTTCTTCTACAACAATAAATATAAATAAAAAATAAAACTATAAATGGCCCATTCTCGCTTACGGCGCATGCCTCCAGACCTATATGTCATCGATTTTCATGAAACTTAGTAGGATGATTGTTTATATGAAGAACAATATCCGTACAAATTTTTAGGTCAATATATTAATTATTTAAAAAGTTATTAACAATTAAAAAATTTCAACGAATTTTTTTTTTCTATTCATATCTCGCTAACCGCAAAAGCTATCGACATGAATGTTTTTTTAAAATACGCACAAAACTACATACTTTTAAGATAATAATATAGAAAACCATTTTTTTTATTTTTTCAAATGTTATTAACTTTTGAATATAAAAAATAAATTTTTTTCGATGACGGTAGTCTTGGATTTCAAAAATTCTTTTTCCATTGTATTCCTTGGCCCTTTTTCTATGAAAAACCGTTTTAACATTTTTGTAATCGGCACTTCTAGCCTCGTAATAAACAATAAACTAGTGACGGCGCCGACGCGCCGTTCGGACGGCCGCAGACGCTCGAGCGGCACACTAACCGATTGTAGCTTTCTTGTTGTATTTGTATTTTTTTTTTACTACAATTTGGTCTTTATTACCTATATTTTATTATACTATTGTTAACCTAATATCAAATAAATTCAGCTTTTGTGTTAGTGATACAAATCTATAATAATTAAGGGCCCTAAGACGCGCCGGTTGGACAGCTTATTGGCGTCAGGCTTAAGCACCTGGCAATTAGCTGTGCCGCACTAATGACAGTTCTAATTTATGGCCTCATAGATAGTGTAGGTGAGAGTGACAATATTTATTATTAAGAAAATTTGTAGGTGTGAGGTAGGCTGGCCGAAAGATAAGTCTCTGAGGTTCGTCCTCCAAATTTAGTTTTCTCGTGAACGTTCACGTAGAAGGTTGTGTCTGCCATTCCAGTGAAGTTTTGTGCTTTCAAAATGGTAAGAACGAGCCCCATAAGCATTAAATATTGCAAAAATATTTTTGATAAACATGAAAAAGCCCGTAGAGGGTATTTCAAAAAATTGTCAGATGGGATCTATGCTGCCTTTTCTTCATTTTTGCAAAGTGGTGAATTTTTGTGTGAAAGTTGCCGAGTAGTATGTTATCGGATCATGAAAGAATGAAAAAATCTGATCAATAATAATCAGACTCCACGTTCGATAGAAGATTATGTGAGAAATATACAGCAAGAAAAGCAGAGCAAAATTGAATCAGAAATTAATAGATCTGTTTCTCCAGTAGGCCAGGAAGGTGAGCCGATGGAGATAGACTCGTGCGATTCGGAATCATTTCAAAATCCATTCATTGATACTAATGGCACTAGAGACGAAGATTTTAGTTTAAGTTTGTGTCAGCAACAAAATGAAGTGCTTGAAACAGTGAATAAATTGTGCAAACAATTGAACATAGATATTATAAGCACAGCCGATAAGAAAAATTTTGAAGTTATACAGAAAAAGCTACATACTGTCACATTAAGTCTCAGTAAGTTATTCCTCAAAGACTCCAAAAATGCCATTACAGATAATCAAAGTGATTTTGAAACAAAATTTACGCAGGATTTAAAATTAAAGTACCATAAAGCTGAAAATTATTCAGAAAAAATTAACATTTTGTTATTTGCACCTTCTACTTGGAATCTATCTGAAATGCAGAAAAAAATAGGTTGTACAAT